CCCCCCCCCCCCATGCTCTAGCGCTGGAATGTCTCTTGGCACCCTCACGTCTAATGCAGCTGCATTAGTTGTGATGATGTCACAGGTCCTTGGGGAAGAGCTTAGGGTAGAAGAGGCTGCAGGGACCGGTGTAGCAGGCAAGCGGGAGAGGGGGTCGGGTGCGTATATTTTCTTTATTTTTGCCCCTAGACCAAAACAAACAGTTAACCCTTGCAATGCAGGGGTAGCCCCACTGCGAAGGTTAATTTTACATATCTGGAGTTTTTCCTTCAAGTATATTTAAACACAATCATTAACATCATCCAGCTAGGGTTTAGATCAGTAGTAGGCAGACTCTGGCCCTCCAGCTTTGGCAGACTACAAATTCCATCACACATCTGCCTCTGGGAGTCATGCCTGTGGCTGTCAGAGACTTGCAATGCCTCATGGGACTTGTAGTTGCACCACAGCTGGAAGGCTGGATTTTACCTACCCCCGGTTTAGGTCTACGTCAAGCCACACGTGTTGCAAAATGTGAGAACTACTATATGACAAATGGCCTTATAATAAAGCTATGGGTCTAGTATTAATTCCTTTAAAATTGGTAGATTTAGTTATGATAACATTGATGATACATTATGAATATGCAGACATCTTACCCTAATTTTGCAGTAAGGGTAGGGGATGAATGTCAGGACCTCACTTCCTAGAATTAGTTCTGCTTGTGAGCAGTGAATTAACAATATATAATGTCATTGTTCATGTGATAGCTGACCAGATCCTGCTCCCAGCAGTGCTTAGATTACCCACTATCCCACTTAATAACTGGGCAGGCACTCAAGTTGATAGCAGGAAGCATACCACTTACATTTAATGCCTGAGAACCGTGAACATTAGTCAAAGACTGAAAGTCACTAGCTACAGGCACTATTGACTGTCATTGTGGTGGGGGCCTGGCTACATCTGTGACCTGCTCCATCTCTGTTCCTACTTTTCTCACTGACCAGACAGATTTACTTCCCGTTTTATGGGCCAGTGATCTTGATGATTAGCCTAAGGGCAGATGTTTGGGGAGCCATTTGATTTCTCATACAGGTGGCTTGAAGTGGGCCTTCATTCTGTGGAGTGTAGCTCAAGCGGAGTACTACTGTATATGTCATTTTTAGTGTAATACAGTTGAGCAGAACATGAGCTATTTTTTATTCTTTCTCTCTATAGTTACACATTTGCTGGCCATATGTTACTCTGAGGGGGAGATACAAGTCAGGACTTCATTAACATGAAGATAATGCAAATTATGTTGATTATGTTGGCTCTTTTATTTTACTGTACATTTGATTGATGTGTTATCTTTGAGAGAAGCCTGTGGGGGTTTACACCATGATTCATACTTTATTTCCTTCAGTTAATTGTCAATATATGCACACCAAATGAAAGTCTTTGCTGAAATATATTCCTCTTTATTTTGAAGTGGGTTCATCTGTAACATTTAGTGGGAACAGCTATATAAAATACCGATTACTGGAAAATGAAAACAAGGAGGAAATGAAGCTGACGATAAAGCTGAGGACATACTCCGCACATGCCGTTGTCATGTATGCCAGAGGAACAGATTACAGCATTCTTGAGGTGTGTTTAATGTGTTGTGGTTTCTGGGATCACAAATGATTGTCTCTGGAGTGTTATTCTGGTTTTCCAGAGAAATTCTTCTTCATGCTTCTTTCTGCTTCATAAACAAGAACAACCCGTGAATTGCTACCACAGAGGTCTCCCCATACTACCTCTCCCCCTTGGATTAAATACAATTGTAACAAGTAGAGAACAGGGGTTCGATGAGAGGTACACAACCACAACATGGATGCATTTTATAAAAAATATATAACATTTATTATACACTGAATAAATAATATAAAATCATATGTGCAATAATCACACTAGACGATAACACCGTTCCTATTGTCAGGAGTATATAAGCCATGCATATTATCACAACCCCAGAATTCCAGTTACATTCATTTGATACCACATCTACATTCAAATGGAGATAGATATATCCAGTCCCAACGCGTTTCGCATATTGCTTCCTCAGGGGATCATGGATTAATCTAGCAATAGAAATTATACATAAAATTAATTCTCCTAGACAATATAACATATCCATAAGGAACTTATATAAGACATGAATACAATTCCATTGACAGTCGAATCAAGCAGAAAAGGAGCCCCACCACCAGTAAGCACCCGGCACTTACCATACATGTATGGTATCTGTAGAGGGACAGCGATTCCTAGACAGAGTGGGGGCGGGGATTGTAATCTGCCAACCCAGACACTCCATCCAATGTTGCCCCGGGGCCACAGGTAGAGGAGCGTCAGAAAACCAGAAAAGGGCGAGAAGGCCCACCTATCTTCTGTCAGTGATGGTGTGCTTGAGCAAATTATTGGCCACAATTCAGAGCTGTTCGTATTCCAAAACCTGTTCAATGCTTCATAAACAAGTGTGAAATCATTGTGTGTTACCATGTCCCTGATTTTTTACGTATTTCCAACTCCTTACACCACTCCAAAGAAAAAAGCCTACCCTGAACCTGACACATGACCCTTAAAGTTAAGGCTTAACAGTTAACCTAAGCACTTAAAAGTGATCCTTAAAATTTAATGTAATCCCTAACAAGTAATCCCTAAGTTACCCTTAAAGCAGACCCAGCACTAAAAAAGCAAGGCCTGCTTATTTGCTGAGGCTTACCCTCCCAATCCAAGAGACAGCAGTAAAGTTAAAAAAGGGAAACTGTGAGAGAAATTAATACATATTCTTGCCTAACCCACAGTGCCTGCCTGCAGTGCCTATGTGAGGGTGACATCACCATCCTTTCAGCAAGATCTCTGGGAAAGCTAAGAGCTCCAAATCTTGTGTCTTACTAGATTTGGGCGATTCTGCATTGACCAGGATCTTGCCAGAAGTATGGTGACATCACCCCTGCAGTATGGAGGCTATATTTACTAACTTTTTCCTCTCAGATTTTTTACTTTTCTGCAGAATTTTTTCACGGGGGAGGCTTCAGCAAATAATTGGATCTTTCTATGTAATGCAATGTCTTCTTTAACCTAAGCCAAATGAAAGCAGAACTGCATCTAAAATGTCAAATAAAATATACCCTCGGTTGTATATAAAGTTATTCTCTTACTTCCAACCTATGTGTTGTTTTGTCCTTAGATCACCTTGATTGTATAGGCAGAGGTGCTCTCAGTCCTCCACATCATGAATCCAGCACCTTATTAGTCGCAGTTGCAGATATGCGCATTTCCTGCTTGTTCACCACTCTACGATGCTTATGTTGCCATGGTAGTCCTGAAAAGCTAGTCTAGCAAGAGCTTCTGAGATCAATGGACACTGAGAAGTACTCATTGTAACATATCACTGAATTCAAGTACAAATAGACACACTACTTTTTTTCTTCTTACCATACAGGCTGCTATTCTGCTGCAACTACGTACTTGTCTAGGTGGCTGGAGGACAAGATATATTTTGGATATTTCACTTTTTGTGGATACATTATCACCATTAGACCATAAAACTGTGTGCATACTTTATCAGCACCAGAAATGACCAGCTCTGAAACCTCACAGACCCTGCACCAAGATTTTGCAGCATTGCAATTGATAGCAGATTTATTTTTAAGTCTTTCAGTAGGGAAAATCTTTATGAAAGGACACCTCAGATTGACTGAGAGCCTTGGGTATTCATTCACAGGCTCGCTTTTTTAAACATCATAAAAGACACAGACTTTCAAAAAGATGATGCGGCTTGTTGTCACCCAAAGCTAGACATACTTTCCAGACATCCACTGGAGGTGACGAGTGGTTTCATACACAGTATGACAGGGAAAGAGATTTTCCATATTTATAGCTTAACTAAAGCCTGAGCAAAATTGCATCTCTTCAGTAAGAGGAGTCATTTATTCTGTTGTGGTCTCATTAAAGCTGATTTCTTTGCTTAGAGAAAATGCTTTATTTTGAGGGAACCTAAATTGAAATACTCTAAGGGAACTTTGTACATTACATAAACCCCTGCACCTAGCTAGAGGCCTCCCAGATGATTGAACCTCTGCAATATAAAAAAAAAATACAATTCCCTTCTACCCTCCTCATCAAATTTGCTATTATAAGCAAATACTAGTCAGTCAGAGCTGCCTGCATTGGATCAAATAACGCTTCTACTAGCCAGTGCTTCCAGTATCTTCAGAATGTTCCTGAATAGGCACTGAAATTGCTGAAATTGTCTTCTTATGGAAAATAAAAATCCTTTTTTATCTGTATATTATGAAATACAAATGTGATTTTATTAATCTCTTGTGTGCTGGTACCTTTATAGTCTGACCATTTCATTTTGAGGATATTTACAAAGTAAAAATAACTGTTTAGGGTTTTGTGGCAATGGACTGGTAACATCCGAGGAAGTGATGGCAGACATGGCATTGAGGAAACAGATGGAATAAATAAGTTGTAAATGGACAGATGTGATAGGAAGCAAGGGTGAAATTATAACTTTGCTTGCAGGCACAACATATTATAGGAGCACTTGACACTGGGTGACAGCGAGGGGTATGACTAGAAATCACAGCATCAAAGCACATTATTGATGAGGTTCATTCTTCCCCCTAAAAAAAACATTTAATAATGTCATTGATAGTACTGGTGGCTAATGGAACTGCGTTAGTTGTTACTTCATAATTTTATGCTACTAGTGTGTGTGTCTCATCTCTTTGTCACCTGGCTTATGTGTCACCTTCTATTTGGTTTTCGCACTTTTATGTCTTCCGTCCTTGTCTTTATCACTGCTTGTTTGTCTCCCGGCGTATTGTGTTTATTAGTCTCTTTACTCCTCAATTTCATTATTTATGTGCATGCCCAAATCTCTGTCTCCCTCCTGATTTTTCTTCATGATTTTTATGTTTCCCCGCTTTATTGCCATTCTATTAGTGTTTCTTAATGAGACCTCACCTTTTGTGAGCTTTTACTGTTGGGTAGGAATTGAAGGAGGATCATGCTATCCAAAAGTGCTTGGATGTTACAGCATGGTGCAGTACAGGGTTAGCTGGGTGACTTGCTGCAGCACTAAGCTTCATATGCCCAAAGAACCTGTAGAATTCTAATGGGGCCCCCCTCATTCTCTCTGGGCTCCATAGCAGCTGTGTGGACTGTCATGACTTTTGTTATACCCATGCTTTACCATGGCAAAAGTGTATGCACAGTAGTCCTTTGCAGTCAATAGGGTTGAATCACCCTAAACATGTGGCATTTTCATTACTGTGCAATATTTCCTTATTAAAACAAAAAGGTTTCAATAAGAAAGGTTTCAATGTAAGAATCAGATAACTGCATGCACAATAAATGAAAAGTATGTGTAAAAGTTTTGTGGAGTCAGAATAATACTTCATGAGATAAAACACTGATTCGTGAGAATTAAAGGAGCTCAGTGGTTGAATAACTATTTAAAGAATTATACTCCGTTGTGGACAGTATTTATATGTGTGATCTGAAGATCATGATGAGGTGATGACCATAAGATAAAGTACTGAAAGCAGTTACAATGACCCATGCATCTCAGTGAATTTAACTTTGTCTGCCAATAGTGATGCACTTGCAGCTAGACTTTTCATACATAGGGGTCTATTCAAGAAGCTGCCGAAGGATCTAGCCGTAGCTTCGGCCGATCCTTCGGCTAGCTTCAGCCCCAGGACCCCTTCGGTTCAGTAGAACCGAAGGGTTGCTGTACGGGCTATTCACAATAGCCCGTACAGCTCCCGAACATGGCCGAGCGGCTCAGTCGAGCCGAACGCATATGCATCGTGCTGAAAGCCGAAGCTGGCCAACCGACAGCCTGCTTCTGACAGCTGGGCGGAGCCAGCCGTGATCTTACGGCTGGCTCCGGCCACTTGCAGAGAGATCAGCGTCCCTGGTTACCTGCTAACTAGGGACACTGATCTCCAAACAGCTAACTCTCCCTGGCGCCCCAGGAGTCTCCTGCTCCCGGCCGCCAAGGAGAGAAACACTGCTGTGTCTTTTTTTTCTTTATTCTGACACGAGCGATGTCAGAATAGAAAAAAAATGTTTTTCCCATTGAAATGCATTGCTACATTACTATTGGCGATTTCAATTTGCAATAGCCAATAGTAAACTAGCATTGTACCCGCCCTCTGCTGCAGTTCTCCATCAGGTCCATCAGCAGAGGGTGGGTACAATGCTAGTTTACTATTGGCTATTGCAAATTGAAATAGCCGATAGTAATGTACCAATGCATTTCAATGGGAAACATTTTTTGTTTTTCTATTCTGACATTGCTCGTGTCAGAATAAAGAAAAAAAAAGACACAGCAGTGCTTCTCTCGGGAGAGTTTTTTGTTTTTTTTACGGCAGCAGAGCCGCCGGACAATAGGAAACTATTGGGCAAAGCTAGCTGTCACTGCTTGCTCCGCACAATCGTTTTCTATTTAAGCCTTACCTCTGTATTATACAGGGTAAGTAGTGCTTTAGTGACCTTTCAGCCAAAGCATTTGAATGATGCAGATGCTGGAACCTCATTTTTAATCAGAGAAATAGCTCTTTACATTATTTATTTAAGAAATGGAATTTGAAGTTTCTTCCAAGGAAATGTTCAATATACATGATTACAAAAAGAGACACTGCATCAATCTGGCAGTCAAAATATAGACAGTTTAATTTTATATCTAGCTGTGCAGGATAAAAATGTGACATGCCTTCTTATTCTTTTTCTTCTCAGTCTTTATGATTGCTGAATTGTTCATATGAAAATGAATTGGATTTGGTTATTTGCTCACTTGTCATGTTCCTTTTTATATCAAACTAACAAACATGTTTTTTCCGTAAATTTGCATTTCCATTATTGAGTTGGGGAAACATTCATCACTACCAGATAGCAGCTCGACTGGAGACATAACCAGTGAATACATTGGTATTAGTTTGTGTCAGTAAAACATTCAACATTGATTAGCTTTATTTACAAAAAGTGACAACATAAATTTTTCCCCAGCGGATTCACAGTCAGGCTTATCAAACAGAGTCACAGCGAAGTCCTGTCTCACTGATGTTTTGTGACTGCTTTAGCCAGTTGCTGGAGCACACACAAGAGAATGTGCCATGAATGGTGCTTCAGTGTGAGACTTGCGCCTTGAATTCTACAGACAGCACTCTCAGCTCTGGGTGATGATCTTTTAAATACCATGACTTCACTGGATGGCTGTTGACATGTTTGATGCCACACAGATGCATTAGTATTCACTGCGCATAGTGAGGCTTGCAGCAGTGAGGACAAGAGAAGCTAAGAACACTCACAGGTGCCAAGAATTCATTTTTAAAATTGTAACACATATTAAAAGTATTTTCAAGTGCATACTTTCTCAGGGCATAATTATAGTGCACTAAGAACTACATAAAGCACAACTGTCATGACAGATATTGTAGCTGCACGCAGTTGAAGAAGAACTCTGGGGAAAAAAAGCTTAACCCTTGCAGTGGGGCTACCCTGTACTGCAAGTGTTAAGTTCTTGTTTATGTCTAGGTTAAACAAAAAAAAGGTTATACTTAGACCCGTCTCCCGGCCTCGCTCCCCCTAAATGATATCATTAAAGCTGAGTTTAGATTCACTTTAATGATAGCATTTAATGTATTTTTTTATTTCACATACCATTATTTATGTTTTTCTCCAAATTTCCATGCAGATCAAGCTGTTATGGAAAGCCTTTGGTGTATAACAAACATCACTATTTACTTCTATCGTTTAAATCTTGTTTACATTTTTAAGGTGCTCAGGCACCTTTTTTTAACGTATTTTCCATTGTTGTCACTGAACATACAGTATATGTTTGCTGGCTCCTAGATTGGACTGAAAGGCTCCAAATTCTATACCAGTTTATCAAGCCTGCTAAAGTAATGGAGATCAAGTTCAGAAGGTTCAATTAAATATTTCCTATTGCATTGAGGCAGTGATGATACCCTGTGCATTCATTAAGGATGTCCAGCCCACCAGCACTGGTCCAAAAGTGCTCTCAGACATTTAAAAAAAAATGTTTTCCAGCATGCTGGAAGTTTAATTCTCACAAGCTTTCCCCAATAGTAAGCAGGCTTAGTATGTGTGTATGAAACAAGGAATTTTATTTCAATGGGGTATTCATGGAAAATCCGTGGATTTTCCATATGTTCTATGACAGAAAAGCAGCTGATATTTTTTGTGAAGCTTAATCAGCTCATAAATGACTAAAAATGTTTTCTTTTTTTTATAGATCCAAGGAGGAAAACTGCAATACAAGTTTGATTGTGGCAGCGGTCCTGGAATTGTGTCTGTGCAAAGTATTCACATCAATGATGGCCAGTGGCATACTGTGTCATTAGAGGTGGACGGTAACTATGCCAGACTGGTCTTAGATCGTGTCCATACTGCCTCGGGTACTGCACCTGGAACTCTGAGAACACTCAATCTGGACAATTATGTATACTTTGGAGGCCACATGCGCCAGCAAGGAGCAAAACATGGAAGAGGCGCCCAAGTCAGCAATGGCTTCAGAGGATGCATGGACTCTGTGTATCTGAATGGTCAGGATCTCCCCCTTCATAGTAAATTAAAGAACGCGGCACTAATAGAAGAGTCTGTGGACATAACTCCAGGATGCTCTCTAACTGCCGCCGATGCCTGCACAGGCAATCCTTGCCACAATGGTGGTGTGTGCTCCCCCCTGTCTAATGGAGGTAGGCGCTCTTCTGCACTGCTTACCCTCGCTGCACATAATTGTTTAAGTGTTTATTTGTTGTTGTTGTTGTATTATACGGTTTATAAGGGGCTGTATATTCCAAAACTGCTGATTACCTACTGTACATTGTGTTCCCTCTCGTGCAGTAAAATCTAGATTAGAAAATCTATCTTCAGTTTTTATCTCAAGGTTCACATAGTAGCAGTCGTAAAAGAAGAGATCCATCATTTAAATAGCACTGTTGTTAAATTATTAATAGAGGCAATACAGCAGAAATTCACCTCCACTTTTATTTAAAGAAAAGCAGAATTAAAACTTTGGAGCACATAGGGATAGATTATGCATCCTAAACATGTCGACATGCGACATCATACCAGCTTGAAGACTTACAATTGTGTTATATATTCCAAAAGCAAGGCTCAGACAATCCAGGTAACTGTGGTAGAAAGCCTTTCAGTGAACTAGAATTGTATTGGTTATTTCGGAAAGTCCAGCTGTATTTTACTGGTAATATTTGATATTGTACATCTGGCAAGTAAATCAAATGCTTTCCTAACTATATGGTTTCCCCATATCTTTTACTTTTAGAGAATTTTGAAGCATGCAGTGTGCCTGATGGGGAATGCTCTGATTTATCTTGTTAGAATGGGGGATCTGCACATATATAAAATACTTTAGAGTATATTTTAATAAAGAAATAAAAAATGAAACAAAGTTAATCTGCGCTTATGGATAATAAGTTAATAATATGGGAAATAAAGCTGCCACAATAGAGACAACAAAGTCCTAAGGTGTAAACAATGATTTTGCGGCGCTAAACCCCTACTGTGCTTTAATATAAATATAAAATCGAAAATATTGGTTTAGTCTTGATGTGCCATAAACCTAGTAATTGTGAAAAAAATGCCCCTTTAACTGATGACAACTAATATAGAGAATGCAATATGTCAGTTACTAAAAACTATTGTGCAAAATTCACTTAGTAAAACAATATGTGAAAAAAATCACAGTGAATATCACATTGAATAAGCAATAACAGTGAAAATTCATAAATGAACCATAATAAGAAAAAAGTGTCAAATAGTCAACAAATACTACATGTAATGCGATACCTATCTGGATAGGTAAACTTCCAGATATAACACACGTAAAATCTTTGTGACCATTATAGTCAAACAGTATTTCATATGGTGAAAGTGCAAAAATTATTAACATTCAAAAAAGTCCTCCAAATCATTAGGAAAAAGTGCTGGTGATTATAATTGATCCTCCTAGTGTCACACACGTGGCCCCCCAGGGCAGTGCACACTCACCGCAAACAGATCTTAGTTACACTTCATGGGCAACCTGAGGCAGGTATTGGAACAAATCCTCCTTTATATTTCCTCCGGATGTTTACTAGATGTTATTCCCCATATATTAAGAAAGGCAAGAGGAACTCCTCATGGTGAAGTAAGTGTAAACGTTTATTTAAACACACATAAAAAAAAATCACATTTAAAATGTCAAGGGACCGGTAACTCGTGAGCCTCCGTGCTCACTTCCGCAATCTGTATGACGCTGTGATGTAGAATAGACCCACCCCGACGCGTTTCATCACTTCTGACGTTCTCAAGGGTGAGACCTGCTATCCCCTTGAGAACTTTTTTTTTTTTTGAATGTTAATAATTTTTGCACTTTCACCATATGAAATACTGTTTGACTATAATGGTCACAAAGATTTCACGTGTGTTATATCTGGAAGTCTACCTATCCAGATAGGTATCGCATCACAAGTAGTATTTGTTGACTATTTGACACTTTTTCCATCTATGAATTTTCACTGTTATTGCTTATTCAATGTGATATTCACTGCAATTTTTTTCACATATTGTTTTACTAAGTGAATTTTGCACAGTAATAGTTTTTAGTAACTGACATATTGCATTCTCTATATTAGTTGTCATCAGTTAAAGGGACATTTTTTTTTACAATTACTAGGTTTGTGGCACATCAAGACTAAACCAATATTTTCGATTTTATATTTAGATTAAAGCACAGCAGGGGTTTAGCACCGCAAAATCATTGTTTACAATAAAGAAATAAAGCCTGTTCACTTAGCAATTTAAATGTTCACCAAGCTTATTATATAAGGTAAAGCTGTGTTCACTTTAACTATCCAATCTTGTTCAAGAAAAATAAATACTGTTTTGTTTTCATTTCCCTACATTTGATTGGGTATTGAAAATTTTAAAAGCAGAAGCACTTTTTATTTAAGAAATATCCTGAAAATGCTATAATCCCAAAATACTTCAATTATTTAGAGAAAGGGCCAATATGGCAAGGGGATTGTTTGTTATAACATTCAGGATTGACACAACAAACAAATCAACTCTTCTTATAACATTACACGACGCATGTATAGTTTTACTATAAATCTGTTTTAGATGTAATAAACGTATGTGATTTTATAAGAAGAGTTGTTTTGCTTTGGTGTGTCAGTTCAGAATGCTATAACAAACAATCCCCTTGCCATATTGGCCCTTTCTCTACACGATTGAGTATTCACAGTAAACACAGCTTTATCTTATTAGCTAACCTAAGGGAATATTTACTTTGCTATGTGAACAGTCTCTTTGAAGTAAATTATTCCATTTTTGTATGTAAATTTGATGTAAAGTATAGGACATTGTAGCACTTACGTTCACAGGGCTCAGGATTTATCTGCAGGAATGTCTTGCATGTGACTAAAGTTAAGTAGGGTATGCACGGTTAGAATTTCAAACAAACTAAATCGATTTTGAATGTTCATTCGACTTTCTAATGGTTGATGTGGTCAAATCGATGATTGATTTCAACTGCAGTGACAAAAAAGTTAGAAGAACCATGTTGGAAATTTTTTCTTGATCCAACAAAACTCTAACAGTGAATGTGGTTTTTGTTCGGGAAACTTAATTCGTTCCTAAATCTAATGTTGAATAAAAACGAAAATCAAACAAAATCTCCAACAACAATTGCCAGGTCTTTGATGGCATTATGAAAGGTTCCAACTAGATTTTTCTTACAAACATTTGTGCGGAAATCTACCTGTGTACCCTACTTAACTATGGTGGCAGATAGAGCTGCAGCTAACGATTATTTTCAAAATCGATTATTGAAAAAGTTGACAACTTTTTCAATAATCGATTATAATCGATTATGTCGGTTAGTTGTTGCAGCCCTAGTGGCAGATACCACAGGGAGCATGGCGAAACAGCTTGGATGGTCTTGTATTTATGACAGTTGACATTCTGGCGAAGATGGAAGCCCAACAAACTTTGGGAAGCACTGCTATAGCAGGTTGCAACATTTTATCTTATGTGGCAATGAGTAAAAGTTTAAACTTTTTTATTGGGTACAACTGATCCTTCAAAAGCCCGTACAGACATATTGGAACAAGAGAAATAACACATGCCAATTGCACATTTGGATTGTTCACTGTTTTACATTATAGTAATATGTTTGTGAGAAAGGTGTAATTGTATTTCTTACATACTGATAACCTGATGTTTAACTTCCTGTGATTTCTCTAACAGGTTACTACTGTAAATGTACGTCGTCATATGTGGGCACACATTGCGAAATAAGTGTCAATCCCTGTGCCACTAACCCTTGCCTGTATGGTGGTACCTGCATTGCCGTTAAGGATGACTTTATCTGCCATTGTAGAGGAGAGTACACAGGCCAGAGGTAAGTTACATTTCTCATTATTCCTTTTAATATTTGTAAAGGAGGAGAGTGGCAGCACCTTGTGTTCTTAAATAGTACTTGGAGGTACTATCAACTTACCATAGTGTGCAGTATTGGGCACTTAGTCTTGTCTCCTCATAATAATATCCATGTTTCTGTTAACTAGATGTGAGTTGCTTGTATGTTATATGATCATGTAAAAACCTTCTGGAGTACTCTGTTTTGGTATTCCACAGCAGCACTATTTCTGGCTCATCAGTTTTACATCTGTATACATATCGTGTTACCAGATAATATATTTCTAGACAGAGAAGTCCAAACATGAAACAAATGATATCTTGGTTTTCTGTGTATCCATAATTTATTATTCAACGTGTGCAGCTATGAAACAGATCAAGGGATACTCCCTTGATTCCCAACCAGAGGTTGAAAAAGGCATCCGAAACCCATCCCTTCATCGAGCTCCCTTATATGCTGGAGATCAGGTTGTCACTCGACAAACCCGATAACAAATATAACACTAGATGTAATCTATCCATGCAAAAAAATACCAACATTTTGAAAGATATTATTCACAAAATATGGAAATTGTCATGGCTAATTGAAACCGCCAATACTAATAAGTACTAGACAACTCTATTTATTCAGGTTTTAAATGTATTGCATACCTTCAGCATTCATTTTGGCCACCGGGTATTAGTGTGGCATGGAAATAGTCATGTGTGTCCCCGTACAACACCACAGAAGTATTGTGTTTCTAAGCAGACTAAGCATTGCTTCTTTGTAGATTTCTAAAGCAGTAGATGTCCGCTCAGCTGCAGCTAAACAGTAATGCAACAGCACCAGAAAGAATTACTTCTCAAAGCATGGGAATAGATGAAGCCTGCATTTGCATCTAACCCCTAATGCATTTTGGATGGGCTGGTTGCTGCAAACAAAATTGAATCATAAGTATCACAGAAGAGTTGTGAATGACAGAAAATGATTGCGTGTTTTGACAGCCGTTCACTGTCTGTATTAACACTGACAAATATTGTGGATGTGGGATAGGTTGCAGGTGAGAACATCCAAGCAATTATCAGGTTTCAGTATATTAACAAAAGCAAAAACATAATTAAGTGCTTTTCTGTTTAAAGCTAAACTCCAGGGAAACATATGTATTTCTGTCAACCCAGTCATGAGTGTTCTAGAGCTCAGAAAACAGCATAGCCTCATCCAGCAGGGCATAAGACCTGATTTTTCTCTGCCGCAGTTCACTGACAATTACAGGTCTTGTCCCTCCCCCAACCTATGACTGGACAGTACAAGGAAAATCAGCACTGATGAGCTCATCCCTCTGCCACCCTATTACACGGACTGCAGCACAATCGATTGGCTCATTGTGCTGGTTTTATCTTCCCCCAGTTTGAATTCTGTTGCACAGTGGATTGCCAGAGGCTGGTACCAGGTCAAATTCAGGTGCTTACACTGTTATTTAAAAAATAAATACATTTAATAATGTATTAATACATACTATAGTATTACATAATAATGAATCGAGAGCAATCGAATACATATTGCCTAGCAAGGAATTTTGCCAAAGCACTTACAGTCATCACCTTTCCAACCGGCTTAACTCTCTCAGGTTAGCTTGACCGAACTTCCTGTTGAGTACAGGATATAAAAGGGACAGCACAATCTCCAACAGCTGCCCATCTTTCAGCTTGGAAAAGGGAGGGAGCTGGGAGCAGTAGAGTGGCTTGTCCTGCTGTGTCTGTGCGTTTGTGGAGACACAGCTTACTAGCACACACAGGGGTGGCTCCATAGGATTCCGCAAGAGTAAGGAGCCACCCTAAAACAGGATATCAGGGCCAGTGCTTAGGGGACCGGCTGATTCTGCAGGAAGCTAAAACTTTTAAATATCCAGAAGCAGCATCCATTGTAAGCAATTCCATCAGCATTTGAAATAGCATAAAAACCCTTTGACTTTAATGGTACATTATTTTAAATCCGCCTGCAGTTCAGCTTTAAAGTCATATTCCAGCCAACATGTCTTTACGTTTTGCAATTTTGAATGGGGCATGGAAGGCATAGAATTTCTATTTCTATTGCTGCATGTGACTCTGCTAGCCACAATTTTGCTCACTATGCTGACTCCAGGGGAACAACTGTCATCGGGCCAGGATAGAAGAAACGCCAAGACAGTTTTTTTACATTTTGACTTGGAAGTATTTTCTATCACTTTTTGCCCTTCTGATGCCCTGTCGCCACCATGGGAAGTAATTGCTAATCTCCGGGAGTGTAAACAGCAATAAAAATGTAACCGGCTTTAAGCCTACCCTGCCATCCAAGAAAAATGTTTTGGCTGCAGTGAGGCTTTAATTGTCACAAATTACCAGCAGTTCACAAATATGAATAGGAAGTGCTATGCTTCTGAGCTACCCCATCTGGACTACCCCAAACAGCAAAGACCATTTTCAGCCAATGTTAGTTCTTCTGTAGCAGCTTGCCTAGTCTGGAAATCATTGCACATTAACAGAACTGCATTAACTAAATATAAGAACTGAAGGATAGTGATAGTGTAGTAACAGCAGAAAAATAGACCTGCAGCTGAACTGTAGCATGGGATTACCTATCTATTACACCAGAACTGGGAATTATTTTTCTGCTGTGACTGTGTTCTGCAAAGGATGTGGACTCTGTTGACCTGATGAGCTCCTGCTGATATTGCGATTGCACTGCATTAAACAGACTGTGACTACTTGATTTAATCAGTGGTAAGTAGTAGACCATTACAACCAATTACAGTTCAGTATTTCTGATCGGGGTGAAAGCTGATTATAGGGTTTACTAAACAGAATTGCTCTTTGCACATTTCACTTTACAGAAAATCTGATCCCTGTTTTTATCTAAGTGACATAGATTAGTTTAAAATATAGGCCATATGTTTAGACAAGAGTGTTCTTAAAGTTCACATAAAACTGATATAACAGTTCAATTAGATATCATTGGTTGAAACACCCACCGACTTCTTTAAGGGATTGTCCGCATAAAATAATAATCTGCTGATGACATGCATCCTCATTCACATTGTGTGTTCTGGCATTCTGGTGGCAGAAAATATGCATACCTGAGGCAGCAATGCCAGGTGTCCCCATTTAGATGGGGACACCTGGCATTGGGGCCTGCCAAAACACACAAAATGAGGCCAAAAACCTGCCAAAATGAGGCCTAAAGTTGTATACTCCTACCTGCAGCAGCATCCTCAGCTATGCCCCTATGGGCAAATTCTGTGCCATTTTGGCAGGTAAGGCTCTTACATTTCTGGATAATGTTAGACCTTGCTGCTGCCACCTGCCCACCCACACATTACTATTAGCCCAACACTATGATGGGCTTCATCAGTGGACAATAGGAAGGAAGAGCCAAATCTTTGCCTGAAAGAACAAACAAAAGTTTGGCAATAGGGGCAACGTTTCTGGTGTTTTGTACCTACTCCTTTTGTACCTACTCCTTTTGTACCTACTCCTTTTGTAAAATCTGTCAACATGCCAGCCTATATATATATATATATGATATATATTTCTTTAACTGGCTCATGTATTTGTATCATTGCATCAGTAATATCATTTTCTTGTTGCAGATGTCAGTTAGGACCATACTGCAAAGACAACCCCTGTAAGAACAGTGGGAGATGTATTGACAGCTTGGATGGCCCTGCGTGTGAATGTGAACCTGGTTTTCATGGAGAAAGGTATCCCCTCCATTTGTGGTATCTCAGTGATCTCTGATAATAATGATGCTATTTGAACGATGATACCTAATATGTTTGTAAAAGACTTAAGCTAGCCATGCACAAATAGATTTGTTTCCTTCAGCCTTCATCAGCGTGTATAGAGGAATCTCTCCTGTCAGCTATTGTTTTCAGATAGCTGGCACCCACAGTTTTCTGAATACCCGAACAATAATCGGATGCATTTTTTTGTTCGGTTGACAATTTTCCTCCAGGCTCTTACATGAAAAAGGTTATCTAGCTGGGTAGGCTGGACTTCTATTTTTTTTTTAAATGTGAAGTCTTATGGTATCCAAAATACTAGGACTTGGTACTTGCTAGATGAAGGAAACATTTCCTTTATTAAATTACCATATTGCTCTCCACATTGTCATAGCATCTTTGCTTTTGTTACATTTAAGCAGATTCAGTATAAAATGTTGATGATTTTTCTTTTTATTGGCTATACAGCAAAACAGATAGATTCCTAGGCAGCAGATAGATGAGTTCCATTGATTCTGGGTATGACATTTTACAGGCCTATTATTAATGTCACAGTTTGTTCTGTTTGCTCTAAATCACTGTCATTAAGCATGGGTTTATCCAACATGCAGAGACTCTTTACTAGGAACAACCTCAGTGAGTGACACTTCTTGTTTGTAGCCTTCTGGTTAACACATAACTACACCCAAGAACAAAAATGTAATATATTACAACTTAGCAGGCCTTAGAAAGCAGATACAGATGTGGTGGCAGCATTATTTTTTCAGGCTTGGAAAATTTTCAGCAAATACAGAATATACCTGTTGATCCTAACAGGAATGCATTGTCCTTGTTGCTTGCTGTAAACTACTTATCTACTGACCCCCTATGTAAACATGTCAGGAGCTGAGATGGCCTTGGCAATGCAGCTCTCTGAAGGGTGTCAGTGGGAGTCACTGTCTACTTAAAATGTTCTTATTACCAGAACTTTAAGGATAATTGATTTCAGTTATCAGATCCCATACCCATTGCCTCATGGTAATTGTCAATGTGCAAATCTTGTTTTATGTTATACTTGCTATTGAGACACATGTAATATAACATAGATAATATGTCATGGTATGTATATGCAGTAGATATTACAGTGGGTGGTTTAACAAACTCATTTTGTGCTGTTGCAGATGCCTAAACGATGTTGATGAATGCACCGATAACCCATGCCCCAACGGTGCCCTTTGTGAAAACACCTATGGATCTTACACTTGTAACTGCAGCAATGGTTATGGTGGGAAACATTGCACAGAAATTGCCCTCAATAAGTATGTTTCAACCTCCTGGAACATTGGCCTAGCGGAGGTCATTGGGATAATTGTCTTCATAGCAGGCATCTTCTGTCTGGTTGTAATTTTTGTCGTTTGCCGAGTAGTGGCCAGTAAGAAGAAGAAGAGGCAGCAGGAATCAGTGGACAAACACTCTGGGGTATCTTCTGCATTTTTACAAAGGCCGTTCATGGATCCTAAATTGAACAAGAATATCTATGCTGATATCCCTCCCCAGGTACCTGTCCGCCCTATATCCTACACTCCAAGCATTCCAAGTGACTCCAGAAATAACTTGGACCGAAACTCCTTTGAAGGATCCACCATTCCAGAACACCCTGAATTTAGCACTTTCAATCCAGACTCTGTACATGGACATAGGAAAGCTGTAGCAGTCTGCAGTGTTGCTCCAAACCTGCCACCTCCGCCTCCATCTAACTCCCCCTCTGATTGTGACTCAATCCAAAAGTCAAGTTGGGAATTTGACTATGATGGTAAGCTTTTGTTTTAACTAAAGCTCTGTGAAACAAAGTTTTTTACTTTTACAATGTAACAGTGGGGATAAAGGCCAATTGCTCCAGAACTGTTAAATGATCTTTAATTTTTTTTTTAAAGAAATGTATGTTAGAGCTATATTTTCAAGCTTTCTCTAAGGCATCTTAGGAGTTAAAAAATACTGTAGTTTAAAAATACTTTTAAATCTAAGAGTCAGGGGGAAGTCTGAGCTTCTTTTGTGCATAGTTTAAGTACTGTTTTTTTTTTTTTTAATTACACGGTGCAAGAGCCATGATTATTCACATTTAGGATAGGCAGAATTCATCTTTCAACAAGAGTAGTCAGACTACTTAAAGGTTATTTCTGATTGGTTGCTGACTACAGGGATTGGGGGAGGACCAGGTATTTAACACATCCGGAAGTGTCACCTGCAGTTCTGACAAGTTCAAACCAGAAATTGGAAAGGGTTAAAACCCCAGATTATGTCAATGTCCCCATTGTCAGCAGAAGAGTTCAACTGGCAGCTTGGGAATATTAAGCTGAGTCCTTGTTGCCCTACTTTGTTTAAAGGGAAGCTATAATGGTTTACAGTAATTATTTAATATGTTTTTAATGAATATTTTGTTTTTGAACTAATATAAACTTTTTTTTTGTTTTTACAAACATTTAAAAAAAAATGTTTATATGTACATGTTATTGGTGTCACTGAGCATTATGAATTTTCTACAGAAAGTGCCGAAGCTGGCACCTTCCAAAATAGTTTTGTACCTAATAGTCTGTAAGACTCCATTTGACCAGAACAAGCAGGGACAAGGAATAGAGGCACAAGTGACTAGCTCATTCACTACCATGAGCTATGGTAGACAACTGGCTGTTTTCTGTAACACTGGCTGTTTTCTGTAACACAATTAAAATAGACATACCGTATATCTTTTAAAAAGAAACATAGAACTGCACCTGCTGTTTGGAGATTAAATTATTATTATTACTGATATTATTAAACATTTCATATTTGCCTTACTAAAGGGAAAATTATACCAAACCATTATATTTAGACTTAAACAAAAAAGAAGTGCCACACAAGAGTTTAAGTCGAGCACTTTTGTAGGTTTCTGTGTATTTTGGCAGGCAGAAGAGTGCTCATTGGCTGGATAGTTGCCTAATACACCACTGTTATCTAATGCACACAGGGTTGTTTACGGCTATTTTGCAGAAATTAACTGTGTGCACAATATTTATAATATTGCATTGTTGATCTTTTATTCTGTGTAGAAAGTAACACACAACCCATTTATTAATTTGGTTTGTGGAGATTACACACGCTATTCAGTGCATGTAATCTCCACAAACCATTAAAGTCCATTTTTGTCTCTTGGGAATTGGTGATTGTGCTTTGTCATTTCAATTATTTCATTTCAAAGAGACTCCATGATTGTTATGTTCAAACACATTTTACTACCTTTTTTCTTGAACTGAAGCTCCCGTCTGTCCTTTTGGGAAATGATCAAAGCTATATCTTGTTAATTAAGTGTCCTTAACATTTTGACATTATATCTACTTTTTCGCTTACAGCTAAGGTCGATCTTGACCCATGTCTTTCAAAGAAGTCTCTGGATGAAAAGCCTGGTCATCTATACAATCCGCGCGAAAGCATGTCTGAAATTCAGTCACTTAGTTCCTTCCAATCAGAGTCCTGTGATGATAATGGTATGTACAGACAGGGATATTCATTTACACATATAAGCTGATTGGCATACTGGTTTCAGGGTCTCTGATGATGGTTTGCAAGACTAGATGTAAACCACAAAGGTAGAAATAATTTCTCAGCTAGGAATTACATTAAAAAGTTCTCTTTTACTGTGGCAGCATACAAAATCTGTGTTATAAAATTAGCATTGTGCATAAAATATATTTAAATATACTTCTAATTTTGTTTTTAATGTAATTAATGATATTCAGCATCATTAGTTGTTTTGCTGTCAGGTTATTAAGACTCCTTGAAGAAATATGATGAAAGTGGGGATGTTTTGAAAACTCCAACATTCTAATGAGACAGTGCTTTGCAGTTATCTATTTTTCTTGCAGAAATGCCTGCTGTTAAAATCTGATATTACATTATATAAATGCTTTGCAATGGGGACCAAGGTATAACTCAGAACATATTACCTGGTCAGATTCCAGTCAGCCAAGTAATAAACAGTTCGATGGTGTAATATTATGGCTTACAAGATGGCTGCGGTAGGTTGTGGTCCCTATATTTTATTACACGTAGGGAACCCAGTCAAGTCTCCATGTGTTTCTGTATTGATCAGTATGAAGTATTTACCTGCACACCAGGATCCAAGGTGTTATTCAGAAGCTGTCCACTGGTGCTACCATGTATGTTTAGCGTCTGAATAAAGGCATATAACATATTGGACCCTGGTGTGCGGGCCACTACTTCTTACTTTTGGACTTGCTCTGTGCCATCCACTGGTCATACCAGCCCCCGTCTTATTGCATTGGGATTCTAGTCTGGAGTGCGGTGGGACATAGATTATTCTGTATTGCTCAGGTCACCTGAATATTACAGCAGGTTTAAAGGAGTAGCTTCCACTAAAGCCACGCACTAAGGAATATCTTGGTATGCCTCAGTCAGAATTTTTAAGGGTGAAGAGATCGTGTTGAACTTCTGACCCAATAGAAAAATACATTTGTCCATTTAATAATAGGGAAGCACTGCTAATTTATAAAAGTGTCTGAGGCTGGATTTTCACCTTTGCATTGCAATATTGAATGCTTAATCCCACAGAGCATGGTAACTCACAATACATTGCATTATGGTGTGTCGCCTTTCATTCTGTTTGGTACCCAAGTGACACATACAGTGGACCTAAGCACACCTGTGCTACAGTGCACTATGATATACAAATGTGAATGCTTTGTGTGTTGTGGTGTGCTGCATTGCCAAATATAGTGCAAATCTGTTTTTTTGTGGTTTGAGGCATATTGACATCCCAATAAAAGTAAATGGTCTGCCTTAACGCTTTGCGGGCCATTGAACAAAAATACATGTGAAACAGGCCCTGAAATAAATCACTTTAGCCCACAGCACCCAAACAGATACAAACAATCTGCTTAATTCTGCCAGAACAGCCTTACCTTACTGGTTACTAGGCTAACAGGCCACTAGACAAAAAAAGGAGAGGCCTTCTTCAAGACATTTTAAAACAGAAGTAAGCCAAACTTTTTTTGGGCTGTACTTCTCTTTTGAGTCACAGGAGTACATTTACTAATGTACTCCTGTGATCCAAAGTCAGTTAATGCCCGCTATATGCTGAAAGTGCAGAGCCACACTGCAGCCGGGAAGGATCTCAACAATATTGCATAGCTACCTAAGTCACAGCTGGCTCTGCCTCTCTAGAGCCTGCTGTGACTGCCTGCTCCCGTCTGTCCTTCTAATATCCATGGAGTACTGGAGTAACAGATAGAGGAGGGGGCATTACCTGCTCTCTGCATGGAGAAGAGACCAAGAGCTAAGCAATTAGTACAGGAATAGGCAACCTTGGTAGTCCAACTGTGGTGAAACTATAAATGCCATCATGCCTTTGCCTTTAGGAGTCATACTTGTGGCTGTCAGAGTCTTGAAATGCCTCATGGGATTTGTAGTTTCACCGCAGCTGGAGCGCCAAGGTTGCCTACCCCTGGATTAGTGGTTACATGATCACTCAGCTCTTGGTCTTGGAGCTCTGAGCTGTGGGGAGAGCTTATCTTCCTTCCCCTGGACTTCTCCTTTAATAAATAAGTTACATTAGGGATGTTTAACCTGAAGGTAAACAGTAGTATATTTTAGCAGACCCCCTCATATAAATAAGCATGTTATATGGGTTACTGCTTTAAAACTTGACTTACTGGCAGGTGTGATTATTCAAAATACTGCCAAAAGCCCATTTACTTGCTCAACCCCTGCTCAGCTTGCTTGCTATTGCAGAAGTTTCCACGTTGTATCACACATTTCTAAATGGCCACATTCATCATAATTGCTTTACCGTGCTATTATATTCAAAGAGGTGAATCTGGATCATTTTACAACAGTCGCTTTTCATAAAACATGCATACAATAACTATACACTGCAGCTTTTACAAAGCATTACTCTGACTATAGTGTTTATGGTTGAGTGTTCAGTGTTGTGTGAAAGGTCAGTTTTATTATATAATGTGTTTAGGTAATTCCGGTAAAAACTTTTATTACCACCACAAAAACTAAATTCTTGACTGTTGTCATGTGTCTATGGCTTTTAGTGCAAATAATTCCTTATTATTAAGTGCTTTGTATCTGATTTAAAGTTCTCATAAACACGTTATTAGAAAAATGTTTTACAGCACTCCGTGATGGGCAATATATTGCTACTCTGCAGTGTGTTCCTATAAAGTGCTTATACTTTAGCCCTCCTGTGAAAGAGCTACTCGTCTTGATTAGTGATTAATTAAACCTCCTTGTTGAGGTTAAATGCTGGCACACAACAGCAGATGTAACATCATTCCTTATTTCCCTTCATATGGAGTTGACTGTTAATCATGCGCTAATAGTCTCTGTGCCTGAAGAGAGGCTGAATTGTAGAATGAAACATGACACATTTACAGCCTTTCCTGTTTTACTTGGTCAACAAAATACTGGAAAGACGTTTTGTTTTCTGAATCTTGTAAAGGGTTTTGTCTCCTTCCTTTTTCTCTCATGCTGCGGCCACAGTTCCTATATGGATCAAATCACCTATGAGCGAAAGCAGAGTTTGAGAAGTGGCTTATTGTAAGTTTGATGGAATTTGTAATAAAGGAAGTAGCATTAAACAATGCAAAATTTAACAAATAAGATTTATTATTGTCCAATTGAATAACGGTGCCTATAATTACAAGTGTTTGCTACTGAGCCAGGGCGGCTTATAGCCCAGTTCATGGAGGCGCCAGCTTATACAAGAGCAGTGTGAACAGCAATCTCTTACAAAGGACTTTCATAGCTTTTTTCAAGCTTTGTTCAAGCTAGTAAAGCACCCTTCAGCTCCAGTTTGGGGATGTTAAACACAGATCTTAACAAAAGTGCTGAGCAGCTTGTTTAAAGTGACAGTCACCACCTCCGTTAAGATCTGTGTTTGATATTCACAAACTGGAGCTGAAGGGTGCTTTAAAGAATTCAAGAAAGCTGCCAAAAGCTATTTTATTGCAAAAGCTTACCAAAATGTTGGTATTCACACTGCTGTTATACAAATTGCAACCCATGGAAACTAGGCCGAAGAGATTTTGTATTTAGTTGTGCATTCTTAGGCACTGTGTGAGAACATGTCACATCGATTATAGAAAATTTTATTTCTATGGTGAATGCAGATGTCAGTACTTCAACACTTTGCCCAGCATGGAATGTAGCTTGAACCTTGTGTCCATGATGCATCCATCCATCTAAGAGCGCAGTCTCAATTATATATTTGTAAAATAACCAATAAATCAGTAAACCACAATAAAATGCATATATTGTAACGTATACGTAGCCACAATGTTATATACATATGGGTATGTGCTAATGTAGATGAATTCTACATTTGCCCATCTATGCCAAACAAAAGAATGTTGGCTAAGACTAAGGCTAAGACCAAGGCAAGAAGCAAATCATGTGAACTAGATTTGTACGTAACATCCAACATAGACAGAAGAAGGTGGTAGGCTTGCATAGTTTTAGAGAGAATGTCCCTTTTATCAAGCCAAGCCTTAAAATTACACTAAACTCAGGAGTTAAATCTTAAAAATGTATTCACCAATTCAGAGATGATTTGAGGCTCTACAGCCGAGTGATACACAAATAAGATACATTTTTGTTAATAGTTACTATGCTACTTGAATGCATTTTTGTTAATAGTTAATATGCTACTTGAATGCATTTTTGAGATTTACCTCCTGAGTTTAGTGTTACTTTAATTTACTGATTTTTCTTATGAGGGTTTCCTTTTGAAGAATGATCATCTGTGCGTACAGAGACAGGCTACATAGGTCACGATGATTGCATGGTACAACAGGTTTCATTACTGTGCCACAATCTCTCCATGCATATTCAGCAAAGATCATAACGTGGGCCTTAGGACATCAGCATCACAAGGGATCTTGGGGGCTTTAAAGTAACCTTTAGTTTCCTATCTGTCTCTACATAAAAAAACCATGAGCAGCTTAACGACATTTTGAAGTTGTCTCATGCTCTTGTCTGTGCTAGTTCTTTAATTGATTTACTTTGGCTGCTGCTTTTATTCTCTCTATTTATCTCTCACTTCTAGATTTATTCCAGCTCCCAGAGCGTTATAGATTTTCACATAATTTACTCATACTTAATGTGAATGTAGATTTACAAGGATATTTCAACAATATACATCACATTGACAAGCAGGAACATTGTTTTTGATGTTCTAGGCAAATAAATGAACTGATATCACAATTAATTCCCATTTAAAAAAAATGCAACTTCCTTTATTATTTTTCATTCAACTGGGTTTCATATTTTGTACATGTTCCATATTGTGTTATTGTGTTTGCTGAAGTTGTGGTTTGTGTTTGTGTACCCACTCTCACCGAATGTCATTGAATTTACTGGAATATCACAGCTAAGTGAAAATCTACATTGCATTTTAGTAACTGATATGATATATGGTTACGTACTGTGATGAAGTGTCAGTGTCGTATTTCTGTTATGG